GAGGTTTTTGCTATAGGGCATGTGTGCTTGCCAGAAAGACAGAGACACACAGGAAGTGAGAAGTCACCCCCCCCCGGGGGTGTGTGTGGCCACACTGCAATCCCTTCTCCATTCTCCTCTCGGGATCTTAGGCACGCACGCACTTGTGCCTGGTATGAGTTTAAGTCACTGGGTCTGGGACTCGAACTGCAGTCAGCTACATGGGAGTCCAGCAATATAGTCATTATGCCAACTGCTGGTCCCCCTCAGGCAAATTTTAATCCACAAAATAGGCAAGTAACAAACAACCAAGGCAAGTATTCAAGAAGGGACACAGTGGGTCCATACTACGAAATTCAGAGGATGTGAGAAATCAAGTCTAGCACAGTTACACCCCTGAATGATGGAAAATGTATAGATAACACCAGCAGCAACTATGAACTCCAGGGCAGCCACCACTTCCTAGGCACGAACTCTGTAACAGGCAGAGGCCACTGGAGCGTCCCCTTTAATTCTCATTGACGATGCCTAAATTAGATAGTATTTTTTTGGGTGGAGAAAACAAAACATGACGATGCCTAAATTAGATAATATTTTTTTTTGGGTGGAGAAAACAAAACAGAAGTCTTGAATAGGCTGAACTATCTGTCCAGAGACAAACTCCTAGTTAGTGAAGGAAGAGGATTTGAAGCTCAAGCTCCAACACTGCCCTCTCAGTCTTTTTACTCACTCTTCCAGGGGACAATAAAGGGGGCAGGAGGGAATCAGCAGTTAGCGTAATGGATATGTCACTGGACTCCCACGAAGTCGACTGCGGTTCACGTCCCGGACCTGGTGGCTTAAAACTCACGCTGGGCGCATGTGCGTGCGTGCCCAAGATCCCGAGAGGAGAATGGAGGCGAAGGGACTGTGTGATTTCTTGCTTTCTGTCTCTCTGTCTCTCTCTGTCTGGTGAGTGCATGCGCCCTATAGCGAAAACCTCTCCAAATCAATCAATCAATCAATCAATCAATCAATCAATAAATAAATAAATAAATAAATAAATAAAGGGGGCAGGAGGGTGATGTGTGTGTTGAGTGGAGGTAGGTGCAGAGGGGGAGTTGGGATGAGCCTATGAGCATGAGTGAAGAAATGGGTGGGCTGAACCGGATGGGACGACAGAACTGCTTTGTTTGGAGAAGTCTTGTACGGGATATCAGGTATTTTTAACTATGAAGTGGACCTTGAGATGGCTTTTCTTTAAATTGTGCTTTGAAGCTATTATTAGAGGCGTTGACACTTGTGCTGAAGTTCAGAAACAAACCCTGGGCAAAATGCCACCGCTCTGTATGTTTCTCACTCTCCTCCATCTGCTGTGTTCTCTGGGGCTGGGCTGGCCGGAAAAACATGGGCATTTGACTCCAGCCAAACAATGTTCGCAGTGGACGCTGTCAACTCCAGGAACCCCATGGAGGCCATCGACGTGGTGACCTCAGGGATGCTAAGACTACTCAAGTGCCCTGTCAGTGCAGCAAAAAGCCCTGTGTCTCTCCAGTACTAAACGATGCCATGGACAGGAGGTTATGTTTCTCAAATACTCACAGTTTTTCCAGAAGAATCTTGTATTGTTCATCTCCTTTGCCCCCTTCTACTTCTTGGTCCAGCTTTGTGATTAACTCATTCTCAAACTGAAAGCAGAGTCAGAAATTCACAGGAGAACACCACATCCTTAGACACCCGGCTAGTCTTTCTGATTTCCCTCTAGGTTGACCCAGTGCACAAAGGCCTTGTCAAAACACTCCGCAGTGTAATGTTACTTGTCCTTTGCTTTGCATTTGCAGAAAAGAAAAAGTATCCAAAACATTCTTTTGTTACAACTAGGCATATAAAAATATACCTTGTGATTCTATTTCAATTTTAGTTTTGGTTCTTGTCTCAGTCTTGGCAATATGATTGTTTTTGTAGAGCTCCATAGCTGCAAAATTTTCTTATCTATATTAGTACTCTTTTTAGATAAGAAAACGGAAGCACAGAAAAGACGTATCAGGAAAATGAAGTTCTCAAAGCTAGAGAGTAATAGATTAGACCCAAATCCATTACATTGCTCCCTTGGCTGGACTACAGTAGACAGGTTTTTTCCCCCCCTCAATTCACTCGTTATCCTCTCAGCTGTCCTGTAGCAGACATGATTAAAATGCATGAACTCAACTTTTAATTACCCAGAGATGGAATTTTTGCTTTGGAAAAGACATGCAGCAAAAAGATCTCTTCCAGGCTCTGGGCTGGAATATCTAATTATATTCCTAATTGCTTTACATAATGAAATATAAAATGAATTTTTAGATAAGCTTTTTAACATTTGAATTATTCAGGCTATCACTTCTTTAGATAGAAAGAAAACAAGTAAAAGTGAACTAGATATACATTAATAGGATTATAGGGTCTGTGACTCCTTACCATATGGAAATTGCCAGTTCCACTTAAATTGAACTCACACTGCATCATATCAAAGAAAATAGGGATAGTGGCTTTACGGAGTTCTACTTCGGGTGTCAGAGTGACCTCCAGAATGGGACCCACCATGGATGGAATAAATTTGATTTTGTGGGGACCTGAAATGTAAGCGAATGAGCATATTAAAAAGGCATTTCCCTATAAGTAAAGTGTTACGATCTTCCTCCACGGGGCTCATAAGAAAAGAAAAAGCTTATATGGGTGAATCAACTCAGTTCAGAAGCGAGTGATTACATACTGTACTCTAATAATACTTATTTGCTATAAGAAGAGACAGTTGATTGTCAACGTCCTAGATGGTAGAGGGTGTGAAACCCACAAGTCAACTTTCACTTCCAGAAAGACAAATCAACCTCAAGGTTATCTGAATTGAAATGAAAAAGGATTCATCGTGGCATGCTAGTTACACGGAGTGACGTGCTATCTAAGAGGGCAGACACTCACCCAGGTTATACCACATGTCCCGGATCCGAAAGCCGATCTCCTTTCTCATGTCCCCGTATCTAGGAAGGAGATCATAAACCGAGAGAAGGATTTGCAGTGGAAATGAGTTGCGTATAACACAACAGTGAAGGGAATAAAAATGGCCTGTGTCCCGGGGGTCACATTTAAGGCAGGTCACTGGAAGAGATGAAGTCAATACCAAGCAAGTCCCCGAGGAGGACAGGGGGACTCTAATGGCAGGAGGAACCGAATGCAGAGGCTGCAGATAATGGAGCAGAGGAGACCCACAAACTTACTGAAGGGAGAAGAGTAACACTGGTTGCTGGGAAACAAACAAAATAACCAAATGAGTTGTAATCAGTACTAAGGAAAAGGAAGATGAGTATGACTTCAACAGAACAGCTAACAAGAGGGCTGACTATAAGTACTCGTTTTGGGGTAACAGACATCCACACTTTGTGTTCTTCAAAGCCACATGGGGGGGCAGCAGGTGGGTTGGTGGTTGTGGTGCTAGACTCCCATGGCTGACTGTAGTTCGAATCCTAGACCCGAGGGCCTGCTCTCTCTCTTTCTCTCTCTCTCTCTCTGTCACTTTCTGGTGAGCACACATGTCCTATAGCAAACTTGAAAAAAAAAAAAGTGATAAAAACAAATAATTAGGAAAGAAAAGTAACACATTGGAAAGCTCTAGGCCATGCATTCTCAATGGGAGAGTTTTGCCCATAAAGGAGTAAAACTCGATCCTTGCAGGAGGGAAAAAGAAAGCTCTCTGCTTTTATACATAAGCACAGAGATACACACAGTACATCAATAGTGTATCTGTAGTCTTTCTCAGAAGGTGTGATTAGAGACACAACGTATAAAAAAATCCTCCTATCACAGTTGGTAATGAGAAAAAAGAGCAGAGAACATTTGTCTAGACAGTGATTGTTGGAAGGAGTTGAATCAGAATCACCCAGAAATCTCCTAAAGAATCCTTACACGAGATGCCACCTTATACCACATACCACACCAGAAACTGGGGGATTGAAATATTAGAAATGGGATGGATCGAAAGATACTGATACTGTGAGCAAACATCCCCAGGGAACGCTAATGCAGGCTCCCAATCTACCTACACCCAGGGCTTCACCTGTGCTACTCATGGAACTATTGCCCAGAACATTTTTTCAAATTCTACCTTGGGAAATGCCTTCAGAAGCCAGCATTAAAAATGCACTTAGGGGCCAGCAGATGGTGGAATGGTTATGTTGCTGTACTGCCAAATAGTTGACCGCAGTTCGAGTTCCAGACCTGGTAGGTGTGTGTGTGCATTCCTAAAATCCCAAGAGGACAATGGAGGAGAAGGGATTGCGGCATGGCCATCCCACTTAAGGAGTGATTTCTCACTTTCTGTCTCTGTCTCTCTGGTGAGCACATGTAGCCTATAGCAAAAACCTCTCTTTAAAAAAAGCATCATTTAGGGGCCAACAGGTAGAATGGGAGTTAAGGCGCTGGACTCTCACGTGGCCAGCCATCGCCCCAGACCTGGCGGCTGACTTTCTCACTTTCCCTCTTTCTCTCTCTCTCTCACTCTCTGGTGAGCACATGTGCCTGACAGTAAATTTAACATAATAATAATACATACAAAATTAAATAATTTTAAAAAATTTACACTTAAACATTTCTTACTGGGGCCAACCCTGTAGCAATTTAGAGCAGTGCAAGGGGAGCCAGATTCCACATGGTCAACTACAGTTCAAGTCCTGGCCTCGCTTGAAAACATGCTAGCATATGTATATGCGGGCCTCAAATCCTGACAGGATGGGGAAATGGGATAGAAGGGATTGTGACACGATCACTCTCCACTGAGGGGTGCTTTCTCTCCTCCCCTGGCAAGTGCATGTGCCCTTTAGTAATCACTAAACTTTTTTCTTATTATCCCATTTCAAATATATACTGAGTCTGGGACCAGCAGTTAGCATAATGGCTCTGTCACTGGACTCCCATGTAGTCGGCTGCGGTTCGAGTCCCAGGCCCAGCGGCTTAAACTCACGCCGGGCGCATGTGTGTGCATGCCCAAGATCCTGGGAGAAGAATGGAGGAGAAGGGATTGTGGCGTGGCCATCCCCCATGGAGGGTGATTTCTCGCTTTCTGTCTCTCTGTCTCTCTCTGTCTGGCGAGTGCACGTGCCCTATAGCAAAAAAAAACCTCTCAAAAAAAATATATATACTGAGCCTGATTTTATTATTAATATAGGCAAGGCCTAGTATATAACAGACAACATTCCTATTGTTATTTATTAATATTATTAATATTTCCCCTATTTCCTATTATTTATTAATACTGCCATTTCTATTATTTATTAATACTACTGTTGGCGCTACTTCTAAAGATAGGAGGAAGCTTGGAAACCTTCATTCACATTTGTATACTCTCAATATACCTGGTTTTATTTTCTCAAGCTTTCTCTCTGCCCACATGCACACACACTTTTTTTTTTTACACAGGTTATATTCACAGACGTACTTTCTTTTGGCTTAAACCAGAATTATTAATACTGACTAGTCATTTTAGAGATCAGATTTGGCATCAACTAACTTCGCTTATGGTTGTTGAACCAACATCAAATCCATTCTTCTAGGGAGGCACACTACCACGTGGATACTCTAAAGAATGAGATCAAGGTATCTGCCTTAAACATCAGTCTCTCTCAATACCCATCCCTGGGGGAAATCTACAAAACAGGCTTTACTTTTATCCTGTAATGCACAGTCGCTCCATTTCAGTCTCTTAGCCACAAATCTCAGTATTTTACAGAGGAACCAGAAGTGGAGAAATGCCAAATAATTTGTGTAAAATTCCAGCTATCCCATCAGGTGGGACAGAACTAAAATGTCCAAGTCTTTAAATAACACATTTCTCAAGTTACTTTATATTTATTTATTAGTTATTATGCACACAATGAGAGAGACAGACCCTGGACACATGTGTGCTAGGTGTGCATGTGCCTGAGATCCTGACATGGGAGCTGGGATTTGAACCTTGGTTGGCTACATGGGATCCAGCTTTCTCTGCACAGCACTTAACTACTGTGCTAAGGGGCCAGACCATCCAATTATTTGAAGTATACAGTCTTTGAGTTTCCATGCTCTCAGTGAACTCTTGAGAGGAAAGCAATAGAAAGCCTCCCTAAAGCTCTCATCACTCTCACATGTAATCCCATTTTGAATTCAAAGCCAGGAATCTGGAGGGCATTTTTCAGTTATATGTGAGTCCAGGCTTCCCTGCGAAGTGACAGAGGCAGAGCAGCTAGTCTGTTCGGTGAAGCGTGAATGAGGAGGAGGCATGATGCCTGCAGTCTGCAGAAGCTGCCAGCAGATGGGCAGCTGTCCTTGGGCCAGGACGCCTGGCCAGCACAGGTGCTTCTCCAGGTCCAGGTGCAATAAAAACGACGGGATTACTGATGGGAAGATGAATGCACCAACAGGAGGTGAACCTGGGGGAACCTGAATCATCATTTTTTAATAATTATTTTAAGATCAGCCTCACAAACAACATGAGTAGCCTCTGCTGTGATACCAAAATGACTGCTCTGAATGGAAATGCAAGAATCGTCTCCCCAGTCTTAAACCACGTTTAGAAGGACACTTACTTTTTGACAATTTTGTTGCGCTTGGCTTGTGAGAAGGTTTCAAGCTGAAGAGACTCATGGGTGAGAAATGCTACCGCCAAATGGAAGTAATTGTTCCAGAGCTGCTCAAAATTAAATTGCATGTGGGCAAAAAGAAATGGAAAATAACATTAATGAGGATCATAATAAAACAGTGCCACATGGTAGAAAGTCACTAACCAGGGATTAATAAAAAAACAAAACGCGTAAGACTTTTTCTTTCTTGGGTTTTGATGACTCAGTCCTAAAAGTGTTGAGACTCAATATTAAGCTTCATAAACAATCCAAACTACTCTATTTGGGATAAAGAAAAACTGTTGCCAAGAAGTGTGTGGTTTTTTGAGGGGTCCTGGTTTGTCTGTTTTGCTACAGGGGTGCATGCACTTATGGAAGAGAGAGAGAAAGAAAGGGATTGAACAAAGAAAGAGAGAAAGAAAGTGAGAAATCACCCCCCAGGGGGCATGGCCACTTCACAGTCCCTTCTCCTCCCTCCTCCTCTTGGGATTTTGGGCAAGCAGACCCATTGTGATTCTCAAGCTGCAGGGTACAGAATCTGAGCCGCTGAATTAGGCCGCCTGGAGCCAGCTGCTTTAATTTCCACACCACCCCGCTGGCCCAGAGGGTGCCTTTTTTTATGGTAGGTAGTTTGGCACTCAATATGCATCAAAAGCCCTAATATTTTGCCAAATTTCTGAACTAGCGAATGCTTTTTAGGACTTTATCCGGATAAAATAACGAGGAATATTTTAAAATATTTAAACCAGGAAGGCCACCATGGTGCTATTTAACACAAGAGAAAGTGTAAACAATATAAATGTTCACAAGAAGAATTTGGTTCAATAAGTCATGAGCCAACTCAACAGAGGGTGTTCAGTCATTAAGAATATTACGAAAATGCTTAACATCATTGAAAAGATCGAAGATTCTGGAAAAGGTCCAGAAAGTATATCAACAGGTTATCAAAGTACCACGGACCTCAATTCCATTTTGGTATATGTACAGATACACACATTTGTATATGGATAATATATAAGGGGCCTTCAAAAGGTCATGGAAAATGCGTATTACAAAAAAACTGTGTATGAGTTTCAACAAATTTTTGTGCCAAAATAAACTCGTACTTTACTTTTACTTTCCCTGAACTTTCTGAAGTCTCCTCATATGTGTGTGTGCACATGTGTGTGTGTATACACACACATAAAATCTGCATATATGTATACTTAGTCTCTTCTACTGATGACTCCACTTTAAACGTGTCGCAGACACAAAGACAGTTGACACAGTAAAAGCACATCGCCAACAAAATGTACTCTGGAACACAGCTCCGTGAGCGCAAAGGCCTTATTTGCTCTCACCAGGGCCTAGAATAATACCTGGCACATGTCCTTTTTCTTAATGTTTTTTGGATGAATGATGAAAATGGAGCTTGTGGTCATATTTTGCAATTACTTTAGACTTCCAAAAAATGTACAAACTGTTCTTTAGAAACAAACCCATTTGTAGATCAAGAGTTGTCTGTGTATCGACTTGTAACCGTGAGTTTGTGTATTTGTCTTTATACACAAGGGATCAACACCAAAATGTGAACATCAGAAGGTAGGTAGGACTATCTGAACTTCCAGTTTTCTACTTTTTTACTTTACATGTCTTATTTTCTTTTACATGTATTATTTATTATTATTTTATTTTATCTATTTATTTTAATTTGATGGGGTGGGGGAGAGAGAGAGAGAACGAACTGCTAGGTCCAGGACTCGAACTGTGGCCAGCCATGTGGGAGTTCAGCGCCCTCAACCACCATGCCACCTACTGGCCCCATATGTTTTATTTTTTTTATATGTATTATTTTTAGGAAGAGAAAACATTTACATCATTGCGTTTGAAGAACAGTGTGACAGGAATGTGTGCTTTAGGACATGAGAAAGTATAAAAAAATTCTTTCATCTGAAAATGATAAAATCTGAGGTGATTATTTCCTAAATTGAAATTCGTTGTTATGGTTGAGAATTTCAAGGACTTCTAGGTGAAGCACATGCTTACCTGAAGTTCGAAGCTTGCCTGATCCATGAAGCATCTCGTGAGAACTTCAGCAAACTGATTTATAGCACGGAGAAAAACCCTGAGGGAGGAAAACATTGGATAAGAGGGGCGACCCCATGTCCTCTGAATTATCTTCCCATCTCTGCCATAAACGAAGCCAAATTGAGCCTGGACTTGGTGACCCAAGGTCTTTCAACCTATCAGTGTTCTTAGACGCCATCTACAGAGTGCAGTCACAGACAACACAAAGGTACAGTTTCTAGAACTGACTGGAAGAGCCACTCAGGGCTGTGGTGCAATTCAGCTGGTTGATGACAGAACTGAGACTTCAGGGTTCTTGAGTCTCAGGGCAGAGCAATTTGTTCTCTCTCATAACACTGCTCTTTTTTTAAATTTAAATGAACACATATAGGGGCTGGCAGGTAGTGTGGTGGTTCAGGTGCTGGATTAACAAATGGCCGACCATGGTTCGAGTTCCAGACCCGGCAGTTTGCTTTTTCACTTTTGCCTTCTCTCTCTCCTTCTGGCCAAATTAAAAAATAATAACAGCAAATAAAATTAAATAATACTATAAAAAATGATTGTCAGAGGATGCTCTACTCTCACCTGGGGTGATAGGAGAAGCATCTCCAATGGGGCATGGTCATACTTCCCCCATTCCTCCCTCCTGTAAGGATTTTGGGGACACACACATGTGCGTGCACCATAGCCTACATGTTTTTTAAGCTGCCAGGACTGAGACTTGAACCGGGGTCAGCTGGTTGGGATCTAGCACTGTTACAGGGCCAGTCCAAAGCTTCTCTTTTGAAGTCTAGGATTTCTGATCCAATTTTCCCTGTACTTATTGGGAAGGAGTCTTATCAGGAGGACCCTGCAGTTAGCAATAACATTTATGATGATGATTTGCTTTATTTAGCTTGTTAAAAGATTCTAAAGCTCTTCCAATACATAACGGTGCTTCAAAAAATTCATGGAAAATGGAATTCAAGTATGAGTTAGGGCTGGTCTGTAGCGCATTGGTTAGGTCCTGTGCATGGCAGGTGATTCTCACATGGCTCATCTTGGTTCAAATCCTGGCTTCAGTAGCTTGAAAAACAAGCTAGGCATGTGTGTGCCCCAAATATGTGGGATGGAGAAATGGAGGAAAAAAAATTATGGCATGACCATACCCCACTAAGGGTTCTTTCTCTTTCTCTCTTTGCCAAGAATAAAAAATATATATATATGTAGTATAAGTTTATTTTGGTGCAAAAAATTTTGAAATTCACACGTTTTCATAATATGCATTTCTTACAAAATTTTTGAAGACCTCTTGTATATTTGGTTCATTTCACCGCATTTCTTACGAACTTTGTGAAGACCTCTTGTATATTTGGTTCATTTCACTTGTATTCAACAAATATTTGTTGTGATCTAGCAATTGCAAGGCACTGGCTTAGGTGCTGTGCTGAGAAAGACAGCACCTGGTCTTCAGTAGTTTATAACCGGGGGGGGATTTATGATTTGTACATCTATCCATGATAGAACATGGAATATGAAAGAGTCTCAGTGATGGGATTTCAAAGGGGTATGAGAAGTCAGAGGAAGAAAAGATGCCGTTTAGGTCAGAAAGACTTCCTGTTGTAGGTGACGCTGAGAAGGATCTTACGGAATGGGAGTTGGTAGCCAGAGATTATGGGGAGGGCCCTGCAAGGAGGATGACACGTGAGCCAGAGCAGAGAACGTGATCAAGGACCGGGAGAGGCCGGATGGTTGAAGCACAGGCTGCATACATAGGAAATGAGCACAAAATTAGGTGTGAGTAGCAAAGTGACCCTAAAGTCAGGATGGAGGGGGCCACGTGGAGCTGCTGAAAGGTGCCGTGAGAGCTGATGTTGAGGACTAAGAGAGCGATGAAAACAGCCTAGGGAGGGGAGAGCAGAGCTGGAGCAATCGCAGTAGCCCAGAGGAGATGGAGCTCACAAGCACATCAAGGATCCTGAAATGGGAGGATCCTTATTTACAGATGATGAATGTGAGGGGAAGACATTTAACAGCGCTTAGAGAAATTCACACAGCGGACCCAAGTACTGAGTCAAATCCGTCAGGGCCGGCCCTGGGCTGTCTTACCTACTCTGTGTCATATTCATGACCATCCAATCTTTGGCATAGACATTTTTCCCAATGAGGTCCTTAAACATGATGAAAGTTTCCATGAGGAAGTCCTGCAGAAAACAAAGGAGACATGGTTGGGGAAAAATTGGGTTCCATTCTCAGCCTTTTATCTACCGTGTGGACAAGAAACACCACTACATGTGAGTCAGACCTTCTGAGTCCCAGGATAATGGCTTTTCTTTTCCCTAAGTCTTTCAGAGAAAACAAAGCCTTCTTCTATTTGGCTATGAAATGATTTCATTTTATCACTCTATGATCCTACAGGAAAAACAAGGACCAAAAACTCTCCACATTTTATAAATGGTAAAACTGAGGCTGAAAAAAAAAATCAAATGACTGGTCTAAGGGCATAGAAACTAGGAAGCAGAGAAGCTGGGATGATAACTCAGGGCTTCAGACCCCGGGTTTACAGTACTTATCTCTATCCTCATCTGCTACAAGTTGTCTAGCTATATCTCTTGTACCTAAAAATAAGTCATCCGCGTCTGTGAGAAAACAAGTACTTTCCATAGATCTAAGTTCAGTTCCTCTTCAGCACGGTTAGAACGGAACCAAAGTGTACGGTCATGATTCTTGTCCCAGGAACATTCTCACATGTAGCCTGGAAGAAGGCCCCTACTTGTGTCTTAAGAAGCAATGACAGCATGGCTCGTGATGACTGTAATAACTAATAATGTACATATACAGAGCACAGAATAGGAAGAACAGCTACTCCAGTCCATAAGGGAGCAAGAAGTAATTCAGAAATAAACTATCATACTAAAAACCAAAGCTACAAAGTTGGAAAAACATTTTTAGTAGTTACCTAAATTTAGACATTTTCCACTGGGATTCCTGAAATGAAAACCCATTCCAATTTCTCTGGCATTAACCTACACAGCTGACCTTATAAGTATACGGTACGGCAGTAAGACCATAGTCCTTGAGAGGCAGTAGGCCTGGGTTCTACTTCTAATGATACTTTTCAGACACTGGTCAAATAGATTAATTTCCTGTGTAGGAATAGGAATGATTCTTGCTAGAAATTCTGTGTTACCTTTGTATCATCCTTCTGGCTCAATGGTGAACCAGAGTTATCTGTCCTTGATTCTGAAATCATGGACATATTCTATGAGTTTACATTTTCATCCTATTTTTAAATTATATTTAATCGTTATACCTCTTTAACAGCATACAAAATGGTTTTTTCCCAGAATACAGTGCAACATTAGTCAAGTCAAAGATATAATCATTATCATCGATGAATTTTCATTTTTATGTCTGATAAATATTTTTTTCTTGATCCCATTTCTCCTATTCCCTATTACCTACCCCCTCATATATTTTAAGTGCTCCCCACAATTTACTAACCATTCTATTAACTTATTTCTATCAAATCAATGAGAAGTCGTGTTTGGGGTGGCTGGCAGGTAGCATGGTGGTTAAGGCACTGGATTCCCATCTAGTCAACTGTGATTTGAGTCCCAGACCTGATGCTTGCTTTCCCACTTTCCCTCTCTGTCTCTCTGGTGAGCACATGTGCCCTATAACAAATTAAAAAAAATAATAATGATAATAAATAAAATTAAATGAGTAATTCTTAAAAAAAAAAAAAAAGAAGAAGAAATTGGGGCCCAGCAAGCGGCGTGGTGGTTGAGGGCACTGGACTCCCACCTAGGCCACTGTGGTTTGAGTCCCAGACCTGGCAGTTTGCTTTCTCACTTTCTCTCTCACTCTTGCTCTGTCCCTCTCCGGTCAAATTAAAATAAATAAATAAAGTTAAAGTAGGATAATTAAAAAAAAATCAAGGTTTGTGAAGAAAGGATTAAATTTAGATGCCAGTTATCTTCTCTGACGCTGACTGTATATGCACTCTTGGTTATCTAAGTTAATGAGAGGGCACAATAAAGGCAACTCACATTGAACCCTAACACCTCATTTGATCTACCAGGTCCCAGTGATTTACTTGGAAGGCAGCACGTGTATGAGAGGGTGCTGGAAGGACAAAGGCCTAGCTGTGCACCGCAGCTCTGCCACTGAGGACTATGGGCTTCGGCAAGCTACCTAGTTTCTCCAGGCCTTAGTTCCCTTGTGGACATGATGATTCTCTTTAAATGAGATTGATATAGGTGGAAAAGCTCACCACTGTTCTAATAAACCAGAATTAGGCATACATTTTCCTTAACAATGGATCCAAATTGTCAGCTTGAATTTAGAACATCCCTATTCTACCCATTTGATACATTTGAAAAAGTCACTAAAACATTTTGTTAATTTTATCTCATAAAAATAAAGTGAGTAAACTCACATTTACCCTCAGAGTAGGTACTACCATGCAGATGAAGAAGCTGAGGTTTAGTGAGGAAAAACAGCTTGGCTAAGAGCTGACCTGTAGCCTGCTGGTTAAGTCAGCTGATTCCACGAGGTCCAAGTCCAGACCTGACAGTTTGTAAAGCATGCCAGGTGTGTGTGCATGCATGCCCCAAACCCCAAAGTGAGTGTGAGATGGAGAAAAAAAGGATTGCAGTGTGACCATGACCTATGGTGTGCATCCTCGTTTTTTCTCTGGAGAAAGAGCTGCATATCCTTTGGTGTATTCGCCATATATTATTGTATAATACAGGCAAAAGTAGAAAATGAGAGCGTAAGAAGACGGAATATGCACGAATGATGGGAAGTTATTCAGAGTGAAGACTAATGTGACATGGCATCAGTTTACTAACCTAACCCCATGTCCAGCCCATGCTCTACAAGACAAATAATATCTTCATGGACACCCTAAATAAAGTTCCTTGATTCCCTAACGGGAGTGCTCTGGGAGCTGTAGCCAGGAGCCTAACCTAGTCTGTGAGATGAATGTTTACTAGAAACTTAACAGCAACTAGGAGAACAATTTTCCTACTGGAAAGAAAGTGAAATATTCTCGATGGAATATAACTTAGATTGCAAGGGGCTGGTGGTTGCCCCTACAAAACAATGGTATCTCCCACATCTTAGAAGACTTGGCACAGCCCTGCCTTCTGAAATGCTTGCTGGGATATGAGCAACTACTGTCCTTTCAATTAATTGAGACACCACCTTCTTTTCAAAACAAAAAAGATCTCCCAAATATTTCTAAATAAGGATTCTCTTTAAACTCAAGAGACTCAGTGGGTATGTGATGACCTTTTGGGACATATACTCTACTCTTCTTCAAATCCTATCAAAGAGACAAAGAATCAACCCTTTCTTTTACATAATCACTGAGGATGATCCTGTTGCTTTAGAGGTGGGTTGGAATGATAATAAATAAAATTAAATGAGTAATTCTTAAAAAAAAAAAAAAAAAAAAAAAAGAAGAAGAAATTGGGGCCCAGCAAGCGGCGTGGTGGTTGAGGGCACTGGACTCCCACATGGTTGACCACCATTCGAGTCCCACACCCGGCGGCTTTCTTCTCACTCTTGCTCTGTCCCTCTCCGGTCAAATTAAAATAAATAAATAAAGTTAAAGTAGGATAATTAAAAAAAAATCAAGGTTTGTGAAGAAAGGATTAAATTTAGATGCCAGTTATCTTCTCTGACGCTGACTGTATATGCACTCTTGGTTATCTAAGTTAATGAGAGGGCACAATAAAGGCAACTCACATTGAACCCTAACACCTCATTTGATCTACCAGGTCCCAGTGATTTACTTGGAAGGCAGCACGTGTATGAGAGGGTGCTGGAAGGACAAAGGCCTAGCTGTGCACCGCAGCTCTGCCACTGAGGACTATGGGCTTCGGCAAGCTACCTAGTTTCTCCAGGCCTTAGTTCCCTTGTGGACATGATGATTCTCTTTAAATGAGATTGATATAGGTGGAAAAGCTCACCACTGTTCTAATAAACCAGAATTAGGCATACATTTTCCTTAACAATGGATCCAAATTGTCAGCTTGAATTTAGAACATCCCTATTCTACCCATTTGATACATTTGAAAAAGTCACTAAAACATTTTGTTAATTTTATCTCATAAAAATAAAGTGAGTAAACTCACATTTACCCTCAGAGTAGGTACTACCATGCAGATGAAGAAGCTGAGGTTTAGTGAGGAAAAACAGCTTGGCTAAGAGCTGACCTGTAGCCTGCTGGTTAAGTCAGCTGATTCCACGAGGTCCAAGTCCAGACCTGACAGTTTGTAAAGCATGCCAGGTGTGTGTGCATGCATGCCCCAAACCCCAAAGTGAGTGTGAGATGGAGAAAAAAAGGATTGCAGTGTGACCATGACCTATGGTGTGCATCCTCGTTTTTTCTCTGGAGAAAGAGCTGCATATCCTTTGGTGTATTCGCCATATATTATTGTATAATACAGGCAAAAGTAGAAAATGAGAGCGTAAGAAGACGGAATATGCACGAATGATGGGAAGTTATTCAGAGTGAAGACTAATGTGACATGGCATCAGTTTACTAACCTAACCCCATGTCCAGCCCATGCTCTACAAGACAAATAATATCTTCATGGACACCCTAAATAAAGTTCCTTGATTCCCTAACGGGAGTGCTCTGGGAGCTGTAGCCAGGAGCCTAACCTAGTCTGTGAGATGAATGTTTACTAGAAACTTAACAGCAACTAGGAGAACAATTTTCCTACTGGAAAGAAAGTGAAATATTCTCGATGGAATATAACTTAGATTGCAAGGGGCTGGTGGTTGCCCCTACAAAACAATGGTATCTCCCACATCTTAGAAGACTTGGCACAGCCCTGCCTTCTGAAATGCTTGCTGGGATATGAGCAACTACTGTCCTTTCAATTAATTGAGACACCACCTTCTTTTCAAAACAAAAAAGATCTCCCAAATATTTCTAAATAAGGATTCTCTTTAAACTCAAGAGACTCAGTGGGTATGTGATGACCTTTTGGGACATATACTCTACTCTTCTTCAAATCCTATCAAAGAGACAAAGAATCAACCCTTTCTTTTACATAATCACTGAGGATGATCCTGTTGCTTTAGAGGTGGGTTGGAAGAGAACCCTGACTTATGATGCTCAATTCTAATTATTCTTTACCAAGTATAAGAAATCTTCAGGTTACTAGGACCCAGTGAAGACAACTTACGATGATGTCCTGTCTGGTTTTGAAAGTGCTGATATAGTGGCTGGGGTGGCTGGGGCAGCCCTGCCTTCTGAAATGCTTGCTGGGATATGAGCAACTACTGTCCTTTCAATTAATTGAGACACCACCTTCTTTTCAAAACAAAAAAGATCTCCCAAATATTTCTAAATAAGGATTCTCTTTAAACTCAAGAGACTCAGTGGGTATGTGATGACCTTTTGGGACATATACTCTACTCTTCTTCAAATCCTATCAAAGAGACAAAGAATCAACCCTTTCTTTTACATAATCACTGAGGATGATCCTGTTGCTTTAGAGGTGGGTTGGAAGAGAACCCTGACTTATGATGCTCAATTCTAATTATTCTTTACCAAGTATAAGAAATCTTCAGGTTACTAGGACCCAGTGAAGACAACTTACGATGATGTCCTGTCTGGTTTTGAAAGTGCTGATATAGTGGCTGTAGTGGCTGTCCTCCATCTGCCGTAGGATGGCAATCATGCAAGCCACAAAACTCCCCTGCAAGAAAAAGGAGACAAATCCAAGACTCCTTCACCTACTAAGAAAACAAGATTTGTTTTTTCCTACCTGATGAGCCAGATAGGCCCACTACAAAACCAGAGGGATGCTGTATTTTAAAGGTTCAAAGGGCACATGCTCTGCCCTGGATCATGGGCACCTGCATACATGGTGTACCCAGTATACCCAGGGAGGTTTCCAGACTCAAACTCGGAACCCTTCCATGTGGGTCAGCCTCACAGAGTGTTCCATTTTCCTGCTGTACCACTGCCTAACCTCCTCTTAAGTAAGAATCACATTCTTTAAAATTTGTAACTCCCTTCCATTGACTTCTCCAATTTTGACTAAATTTCAATTTTCAATTGAAAAACTGAGGATTTTTAGTAAATGTTATTTGGAAAGTTAATAAACAATTTAGAAAAAAATTCTACTTTTATGCTATACTCACAAAATAAATTTCAGATAGAATGATAGGTGCAAAGTAAGAAAAATTAAATCATAAAGCAGCTAGAAGAAAATACAAATGATTACGTTCCTGTTTTTAGTTAAGTTGTTTAGAGATGGGAGATGGTTGATTAAATGAAGGTATCCTGTAGCTGGGTTGCCTTGGTCTAAACCCTAATTCAACCCCTAAAGCTGTGTAACCTTCAGCACAGTTCTTAATCTCCCTGTGCTTGTTTCGTCATTTGAAAAACGGGGCTAGTGACAGCACTACCTCCATATCTGGGGATTGTTGAGGGTCTAAATGAGAGTTAAAATGCCTAAAACGGTTTCTGGCACACACACAAAATTTCTAATCACTACTACTTTTATCACAACTACAATCGGACGTACTAATAGCAGTACTAATATTATTCATATTCTAAGGAAGGTAGGTCCAGAACTGAACATGCAGAGAGAGTTACAACTAAGGTACTTGTCAGAGGTAATGCTGAATATAGCTCCCCAAGCCCCTCATCCTCTGCTCACAAAGGCTCATATTTTCCTTGAATAAAGTATTAAACAAATACAAGGGGATTTCTGTAAGCTTGTGGGAAAACAGACTTAAAGTCCAAGATTAGGGCCCGCTCCATAGCTTAGATCTGGTTAAAGGGAGCCAGATCTCACACGGCCGACCTGGCAGTTAGAATCCCAGCCAGTAGCATGAAATCCCCAGTAACTCGAAAAATACGCTGAACACATGTGCATCCATGCTCAAAATCCCAAGAGGAAGGGGAGATGAAGGGAAAGGGATTATAGTAGAACCATGTTGCCCATTTGGGGGTGCCTTGTCCTTCTCTCTCTCTCTGGTGACTGCCTGTACCCTCTATAAATTTAAAAAGAAAAGCATCAGTTTATTTTGGTGCAAAATATGTTTGAAATCTATGCATAACTTTTTTTTTAAATACTATGTATTTTCTATAAACGTTTTGGTGACTCTTAGTATTTAAAGAATTTTAGGGCAAAAAAGTACCAAGTTATCTATCTACCTCAGGTGCTTGCCTGTCTTAGTTGGTCTCTATTTTAATGTATTACGCTTTTGTCTTCAGTACGCTTTTGTCTAACACTTCTCAAGGAAACTGGGGGCCAGCCAGCAGCATGGTGGTTAAGGTGGCTGGATTCCCACATGGCTGACTACACAGCTTGAGTCCCAGATCCAGCAGCTTGAAAAATGTGCCAGGTGCATGTGTTTGCATGCCCAAAATCCTGAAAGGAAAATGTGGGAGAAAGGATCATGGCATGACCATCCCCTTTGGGTAGTGTCCTTTCTTTCTCTCTCTTTCTTTCTCCCTCTCTCTCTCTAGTACACATTAGCCCCTAGCAAAAAATTAAAATATAAATAAAAGAACTGTATGTTTTTTATTTGAGACTACAGGTAATCCTCTTCACTTAGCCTCCCCTACCACCACACTAGATCATTTTCCCTCCATAGAGTCAATGTCAGAAAGGAGATCTAGAGCCAGGTAGAAGCACAGCAATAAAATGGGGTGCCCTGAAAGGTGACCCAATGGGAAGGTTCTGGGTTCACAACTGGAGACCTCCCTGAGGATACTGGTCATGAATATGCCCATGATCTGGGGCTGGATGAGGCTGAGGTAGATTATGGTGTCAAGATCCTGTTGGAGGTGCTGTCTCTGTATCTGCTTCTCTTGCTTACTCATTGAAGAAATAAATTAACTAAAAAAAAAAAAAAAAAAAAAAAAAAGAGATCTGCTTACAGTTATAACCAATAAACTATGATGTGAGGGGACCATATGAATTTGGTTTGGAGCCACTGGTCCCAAGCAGGCAGGGGATTGAGAAGCAGCAATGGCATGTAAGCCGCTAAAGACACTCACGATGTGCGGAGACTGTCGACTCATCCCGATCACTGTGCGGTTGATCCTTCTCAGCAGCCGTTCCATTATCACCTCCACATGCTTTCCCGTGGGGCCCTGAGGGTGACACACAAGATTTGACACTGTTCCTTCTGACTCAGTCTCACTTCCCTTAAGGGAATCTAGGATAGTAGAGTTTTCTCTTTACATCTCATTCTGACCTTCCCTACAAAGCAATCTCTTGTCCAAATGGGGAAAAGATGGCTTCATGGAATGATATATAACTTTACAAATGAATGTAGTTGAAAATAATCAGTTATAATATTTAAAAGATCAATGTGGGTATATGTAGAGAGCAGCAATCTGAAGAAACATGTGACCTTTAGATGCGTGCAGAAATGCGCTTACGTGAGCTACTCTAGTAATGGCTACTGAGAGCATTTACACACAAAACCCTGCTATCTGCCTGTTGTTATCGGTTATTTTCTTGTTGTTGTTGATACCCGATACTGCAGGGCAATATGAGGCTAAAGGAAGCTACACGTGTTTATTAGATTTTCCCCTAAAAATATCAGAAAAATTACATGGTGCCAGTCATTTTTACATTTTCAGACGATTTACATTCAAAAACAACTGGCTATGTGTCAAGTGGGAAATAAACTCTTGATAAAATTCATTAGGTCCCTGTCGTACACTGATCAAACTACCTGTCCCTGGATCCTGATCGGGAAGCCTTTTCAGCATTGTAAGCATATAATGTTAATCTGCTGATAAGGCTGTGGAGTGCATCCAAAGATGCGGCATTATCGGCCTGCTCTCTTGTTCTGGTCAACATTTTAAATGTTGTTGAATTTTAGGTATTCCATGTTGTTGAAGCTTGCTCTCGGGCTTCCTTAAACTAGTCAGATTTCCACGAAAGACAATCTCCCGATAAGCATGCCCTGACTAACACCTGCCAATCATTAGGGGTAAACACAGACTGAGTAGCATCTCTAACACCGCAGTTGTATATAGTGCCGCGGGACCATACTGCACACAAGCTGTTCTTAATTCTTTCAGAATTTTAAAGGATACTGGCTCATGCTGATGTTGATTTTGTTCTGAATGGTCAGGATCAGGAGTCTCCATAACAGGCCATAATTTAAATCCCAAAGTGTCCTCTCCTCTATTTGCCGCAAAAATAAAATGCAAAAAAGTGGGGGGAAAATGAAATACAAAGCCAGCTGTTTTTGGATATAAATCATCTAAAGATGTAAAAATGACTGGCGCCATGTAATTTCTCTAATCTTTTTAGAGCAAAATCTAATAAACACATGTAGCTTCCTTTAGCCTCATACTGCCCTGCAGTTTTGAGTATCAAGTATCAGCAACAACAACAAAAAATGACCAATAACAACAGACAAATAGCATTTTTCATATGTAAATGCTTTCAATAGTCATTTGCTAAAGTAGCTCACAAAAGCTTATTTCTACATGCTTCTAAAGATCACACATTTTTTTTTCAGATTGCCACTCTCTACAGGTATGCAGGAATAAACACCTCTTTAGTAACCCAGATTGCTCAGGTTCAACAAGACCTCACTCTGTCACAAACTCAACAAACAGTTTTGGGGATTCCTATGGTTTGGATAATGGTTTGTCTCCCAAAGTTCATGGTTTTAAAATTTGGTCTTCAGTGTAATGGCCTTGGGAAGTGGCGAGACATTTAAGAGTTGAAACCTAGTGGGCAGTGATTATTAGCTCATGGAGACACCACTTCCATGAATGGATTAATGATCTCTTGTGAGACCCAGTGAATTCTAGTTCTCAAGAGAACAGGCTGTTATAAAGGGAAGATGGGTACCCCCAGGTCTCTCTCCGCACATACCTGCCATCATCTCTGCTTCTGTGATGCCAGACCCAGTCTACAGACTTCCCAGTCATCAGAAACGTAAGCCAAATAAATCTCTATTGTTTTTAAATCACCCAGTCTCAGGTCTTTCCATTAGCAACACAATAACAGACTAAGACATCCACCATTAGCAGGAGGTACTCAGTTCTGATGTTGAGCAGATGAGGGTTGCCCAGGAACAATTAGGCACAGGGGTGGGAAGCAAAAGACAGAAATGCAACGTTCATTCATTCAGCTCCAAATTCTCAACATTCACCTTGACTTTTCGAAGCCTTTACCCATTCTTGCTTATTGATAGATATTTTGAAACTCTTGCTTCGTGCTTCAAATAACTAAAGCACTGCTCATGCAGTTTTTGCTTAACACTTTATTTATCATCATTTTACAAATACTTACCTGCCAAAGATTGCACATATTCAAAGTGTACAATGTGATGATTTGGTATCTGGATATACTGTGTACTGATTATTACAATCCCATTGACACTTCCATTACTGCCATTCTGTACATTAGGTTCGCAGAATTCATTCATCTCATATCTGAAAGTTTGTATCCTTCAACTAACATCTCCCCATTCTTCTCCTCCTCCTCCTCACAGCCGCCTTTAGTAACTACTGTTTGTCTTTCTTTTTCTGTGAGTTTGACTTTTTTAGATTCCACATATAAATGAGATCAATATTTTTCCATTGCTATATGTGTATTTATTTCTAAGGCTTTTCCCATAGGGTGTGCACTCACCAGAGAGAGATAGAGAAAGACAGAGAGAGGGAAAGTGAGAACTCACACCCGCCTTTGGGAGGATGGCCACGTTACAATCCCTTCTCCATTCTCCTCTTGGCATTTTGGGCATGTATGCACACATGTGCCCAATGTGATTTTCAAACTGCCAGGTCTGGATCTCAAACCACAGTCGGCCATGTGGGTACCCAGAGCCTTAAACACCACACCACCTGGTGGCCCCACTACACACACACACATACACACACACACACAAATAAATAAATATATTTAAATACCAAGTATTTTTAGTTCTTCTTCCCTCCCTTCTTACACCTTTCTCTTTCC